TTAATGCTTCTCTAGCCACGTTTTTTTTTAGTTTTAAAATTCAGTGTATTAATATGTTTAGATTTTTCTAGTTCTTAAAATTTTAGATGCAAAGCAAAAAAACTATAAGTTAAAAAGGCAGTTGTGATCAGAAAAGTTTTTTCTACGACTCGTCCTCAAAGTGCACTTTTTGTGATAGTTTTTGGGAACACATTGAAAACGTAGTACGATGCCATTTGTGTCATGTGGTGAGCTGAAAGTGAGTAGATAAAATTTAATTTTTAACGTCTATTGTGAAATTCTGAAATTTGATTTTGGATCATTTTAATGATAATAAATAACCCGGAGTTGAGGATTCAATGAGGACAATTAGAGGTCTCTACGGGCAAATTAACTCCATTTGCAAAATCAGTCGAACCCTCCAAGCAAGCAGCTTTCTGACGTTTAAAATTTTTACTGTCGAAAATACAGGCAAACTAAGGATGGAAAATTTCATTATGAAAAAGTTTAGTTTATAAAATGTCGACACAACTTGTCCGAGGAAGGCTAAAAACTGCCACTTTTGAACAAAAACTGATGCAGAACTTACAACTGACGAATTGAAGTGTGATTGTTAGCGAAAGACGAGGTTAAAAACCACATGTTGATATCGGACACCCGTGGTAATAAGAGTGACAATGACGCAGCTAATTGGAACCTGAAGGTTAGGTGGCAATTTCAGGATCCATCCGATCCCGCCCTAACTTGGAAATTGTCACGATAAATTGCTATCTCCTTGGAAATGCGAGGAGGGAGACCCAGTAACTTGTGTCTAGTACCAGGTGCCCAGTAACTGTTGTGTTAACTATTATAGCACTTAAGCTTCTAGAAAGCTCTGAACCTTTAAATTTTGTTCCATATTTTAATTCATAAATTGAGTAAGTAAAAACGAGGAAAAAATTAACACGTCTCCAATGAATCTGATATGTTGCTGTCACTGACAAAACCTTTAATAAATGTTTGTGGCCTTGAGTTAAGTTATAACCACGTTGTCTGGGGATTTGAGAACCAGCTATGTACTCATTATGTACATGTATTTGAAGTCTTTGCAAGATATCTTTGCAAGATAGCCTTTCATTGACCTTTAAACAGACCAAAAATCAACGGTGAAATACATGTGGAATTAAGGTCGCCCATAGAGAATTTTTAAACTTTCCCTTGCTATGCATTTTCTTTGCTAATGTTACACTTTTGCTAATGTTGCTAATGTTACACTGGCAGCTTTTCGATGAGAAGATTAAACTTGCTCATGGTTTCGAAAACTCAGTTTTCAATTGTTTGTCATCCAATGAATAGGCACTTTAAAGTTCTTGCAATCCCATTATTGCTTTTCTGAGTATCTTGTTGGGTCTTTCCAAATTCAATAAAAACAAATACCACTTAAAATAAACCAAATACCACATAAAAAAATCAAATACCACTTAAAATTCCGTTTTCATTCACCAGAGAATTGAATATAAATTTTTAAGAGCCTATGAGATGTTTTTTACGTTAACTTTTGGTGGATTCATAAGTTGATTTAATCAATGTCCTTCTCTGTAGAAAAACTCGTTGATGTCGTGCTGCTTTTTGTCATTTTTCCGGATCAATTCAGCAATCTCTCCCCGTAATTATCAATTGAGCTATCTCCCCTACCCAAGCAAAAACAGTAAAACGCAACAAAAAGACGACAGAAAACGCAAGTAGATGGTCAATGTGTTCGTAGCACGCAATCAAAAGACCGACTACATTTTTTTGTATGAGTATCGAGAAAAATTTTGAAATATTTATTTCCAAAATTTTTTTGAAAACTTTTGTTTGGGCGGCATTTGGCTCATCGAGCAAAGCGACGTACCAGGGTTGGTGCTCTAGCCTTGTACCTGAATATCAAAAAATGTTCTCCGCAGCACAAAAAAATTGCTTCTTTTTCCAATTAGGACAGAAAAAAGGCGCTTTATGCGACTATAGTCGCTTCAGGTTTACAGATCCTTTTTTTCACTCTTGATGTAACTTTTGAACTTTGATATTGTGAACTTTGGATTTCTACTATCGTTGAAGAATCTGATACATGATTCCAAATCATTCAAACAACTTTGAAGAGGTATAAACATGTCTCAAGTACGTATTTAGCTGTATCCACCCATGCTCAATTGATCCGTACTTTCACTTCTTATTTTAATAGAAGTTTTCGGAGTTTGAGATCAGCAATAATTTCTAGCGACATTATTTTCAGTGCAAAAGAATTGTTTCAAACAAGGGTTGTTTTTTTTGGAACACTTTTTTTGCAATAATCAAAATGGGCTCTAATTAATTCAGTTTACGTGTTGGCGTCGGTTAAGTATATCAAAAAAGCGTTCAATCCTAAAAATTTTTCTTTGTGTAATTACAAGAAAGAAGTAGCAATTTCTTCAAACTAGTAGTTTGTTCACGTCTTTCTCATGTTTTCACTTTGGGGAGCAGGACAAGTTACGCAATCTAATTTAACTTATTCTGAAATCTGCTTTGAAATTTATCCTATGTCGCATTAAATCTTATGCCAATTTGGCCTTTGATATGAGTTACTCTATTCCAGTGAGTTCAGTTTGCAAGCCAGTTCACAAAAAATTAAATATTCTGTTAGCCAGCTTTTTAAGCGATAAAACTTCAAAATCAATATTATGATTCATAGAGCTAAGGGTTCGAAAAAAACCCAAACTGCTAATCCAGTAATGAATTGTTGCGCTAAATTAAACTAACATTTCAATAAAACGAACTGATTTGTCAAAATTTAAAAGTTTGCTATTCAAGGTTTATGAGTAAAAAAACTGAAAAATTATTTCAATCTATGTCACAAACCGCTTTGGTTTGCAAAAACTTTAAGTTCTTCTAAACAAGCTACTCAAGTTATGATACTCTGCAAAATTTCAATTTATTTCTTAGCGCAAGTTCATTAACCAAAAGTTTAAGTTTTCCTAAGTCAGCTATTCAAGTTATAACACTTTGAAATAATTCAAACTATTTTGCAGACTGAATCGGTTCGCAAAAAGTTTAAATAAACTTCTTAGCGAGCACTGTACGATATGAAACTTTGAAATAATTCAATTACTTTTTTAAAGAGAAAAATTCTGCAAAGTCTTGGACAAAAATGGGCACGTGGTGTCTAGCCTTGAAGTTGAACCGAAATGATCTTGTGGTATGGATTTTTGACATTTTCCAAAAAAAATTCTCGAGCGTGAATTTGATTCTGTCTGAAACATTGGAAAATGTCTGGAATTTTCTAGAACTGTTTTTAAAACAAGTTAAATTTTCAAATCAGTCGAACTGGATTGATTTTAATTGCCATTACTTAAGGTCATTACCTGCAGTGAAAAACTAAATTGAAATTTCTAAATGCCATTAACTGAATAACTTGATTAAAACAACTTAAGCTTCTCGCAAACTGCTGATTTGCTTATTGAGCTATCTTCGCTTTGAATATCTTGCATTATATCTTGCTCTATTAAATAATTTTTTTTCAAAACTAAATCATATGAAAAGCTTGCTCGAAATAACTAAATTTTTTAAACTTAATAATTTAACATAACTGTCTAAATAAACCGCTTTGGTCTACGACAGAGCTTGATTGTTCAAAATAGCATTGATTCAATAGCTTACTGGAAGCAACTTCATTTTTTCGGAATTGCACTAAACATAGACTTGAGATGTTTCAAGAGTTCATCGCTTAAATAGTTTGCTTGCATTAATATAATTTATTGCCAAACCGATTGGATTGGCTCTACGAAGTAGCAAAAAGTTTTTAAAGTTTCATCGCCCGCATAGTTGGTGTAGAAAAATCTAGTTCCTAGTTTTTATGAAAAAATCCATTAGCAATGAAATGAGTTGACTTTTCTAAGTTTCATCAATCGAATAGCTTTCTTAAAATTACTTTTTTTTGCGAACACTTTCGATGCATGTAAAAAATTGAATATTCTTTATAATTTCATTCGCTTCATGAATCATTTGGAAAGTTTTCAAGATTCGTTTATTGAAAAGCTTGCAAAAGCTCATTGAAAATTCTAGACAAAGTAGAACGAATCGGTTGTTGAAAATAAACAAGTGTTGTTTTTTCTAAAAAAGCAGTTCTAGTGATGAAACGTTGAAGTTTTTTTTTATATTTCAAAAAGCTAAATCGGTTTGTAAAAAGTTGAGTTTTTTTAATGCAAGCTACTCAAGCGATAAAATTCTGAATTATTAAGTTGTTTTTTCAGAGCTAATCAATTTGCAAGAGTTCAAATTGCGCTCGATGTCAGTGTTTAAAAGTTAGCCCCCCAAAAGTCTGAGCCTTATTCTGAATTGAGAGCCTAGGATTATCATTAACATTAATAGCAGCGCGCCGAGAGGAAAATGACCCATTCCTATTTTAATTGACCTCGGCTTTGTTTCTGGCATCCATATTTGGCCGAACAGCCCTAATATTTTTTAAGACACTAAAATACCAGAGATTTGGGACACTTTTTTCAAGACTTCGCTGCAAACATTTTTCGCGGCAGACTTCACTTTTTCAAGGCAAATTTTATTTGAAAAATCAACCCCTTCATCCTCGAAGAAACCTTGGGCCTTCCGCTGAATGTTTTACAGCCATTACAGATTTCAGCTGCAATGGTAACACGTAAAAATTGAAGGCACAAAAAAAGGTTTTGAGTAGCAAAAAAGGCTTTGCTCAACAAAGTAGCTCAGTCTGCAATTTGGGGAAGTAAAAGTAACGGACTATGCTTAGAGAGGCGTGATAGCTGTTTATGGACTATGCTTAGAGAGGCCTGATCGCTTTTCATATAACCTCTACGTATCGCAGAAGACGAAACTATTATGATCTGGAGCTTATCCATATTGCGAGCCAAAATCTAATTTCAAACTAGAAAAAAAATACATTAGATACGGACTATTAATCGAAGATTATATTATTTCACGTTCAATCTGTAGGCATATACATGTATTACAAGCTATTTCTGAATATTTTATTTATATACAACTTTTTAAGTTTTTCTTTAGAATTCATCTAGATGTTGAAAAGCTTTTGGACAGAAATTTGGTCCCAGATATGAGTAAGAGTCTCGTTTGGGGTTCCCAGAGGCCTTCAATTTGCCCCATTTGTTGGAATAGTAGTGGACCATGTAGCTGCAATTGAACAAAGTGTCCCATTGTTGGGGTGTTTTGGGCTCGGAGGGCCATAGCAGGGGTCCCACGTCTTCGTAGTCTGCTGGAAGGAATGCATGGCCCGGAAGAATGGATAGACTACTTTTGGAATTTTCTGAAACGAGACAAATTTGATCTCGATATAACAGGATCTGAAGAACCTAAGATTGCTGAATGAGATTTGAGTGCGCTGCTTTTTCAAATCATCGTCCATCAAATAATTTCAGCTATTTACTGATAGTAAGTATTTTAGTTCGTTAACCAAAAAATTCGACACCATGAGTTTTACAGTACGAAAACAAAGATTAGATATTGATAAAACATGAAATATTCTTAAAACTATTTATATCCCCATCCAGAGACGGATTTTTGTCAATTTTATTAGGTCGATCAAAATGATTCTATGAGCTCTCCCAAATATAAAGACCGTTTTTTGGTTCTACTATCTAAGAGCGTATTAACTGATGTTAGAGGAACTAGAACACGTTACGAAAGGGATCTGAAGAGCAAGCAGTCAGATGGTAAATCTGCAGAGAAAACAAAACTGGATGAAGATATAAACGTGGCGGCTGCAAAGATAAAGAGACTTACGGACGAAGTCAAACAATTGATTAGTGTTGCGGACACGAAAGCAAAGGAAGCTGAATTGAATTCTTTAAAAAGTATGATAGAGTCGAATGATCTCCGGGACTCTGCAAAACGCAAGGAGTCAGAAATTGTGAGTGCCAAGGAAAAACTTGAAAAACTGAAAACAACCATGTAATTTGGTAATACTTTAACTTATGTTATTTCTGGTAATTTAATTTCTTTGACAGCTTTTTTTGCAATTTTGAGACTAAATGTCATGGCAGTGAGCTTCAAATTTGTCAGAGAAGTGGTCAGGGCTGTCAGGGCGACAGTTAAATTATACCGCGTGGCAACACTGTAATTCAGATCTGTACATTGCCATTTTTCTTCCATTCCATATAGCCATAGAAACATTTATAACTCAAGGTCATGTTTATGACGTACGCAAAAAGTAATAGGCTACAATTTCTTGTAACAATTTTTTTTGCTATAACATTTGAGGATGGGGGGGGGGGGGTTGGTGGTTGAGTAGATTGGGTTTTCATGGCTTAATGCTCAACTCACTTGTGGGGCTGGGCATGAATTCATTGTAGAATGTCTTTATGTGGAACATGGCTTTGATCACCCCACTGCTCACTTCAGGCCCAATCATGTGTCTATCGCTGCGAGAGGAGTTGTATGTTTTGTTCACGTGTTCTAGTATGCGCCAGGGAAGCTCATGGCCGGCACTCAAGTGCAGGTTTCCGTTAAAAATTTGATGTGACCTCTGGGTGGATGAGTCATCCTTCAGACACAAGCCAACTTCCGCCCACCTTCGAACTCTTAAAATCAGATATATCAATTTTTGGAAAATTCCCGTTTTTAGAGTATTTTATAATTAGAAAATGTAGCTTAGAATGTCGAAAGTTTCAATTTAAAAGACCATTCGAAATGAAATACATAATTCTTTAAATTTAAAAGAAATTTTTAAAAAGAACAGATCCAGGACATACTCGAAGGGGGAGAGCGGACTTTCAAAAAGTGTTTCGAAAGTTTCGTCGACTTTTATTTAGCTATTCAAATACACTATAGAAACTGCAAGAGTTTTTAAAAGAAACCTCAAGACGCTTGACGCTTCAAGACAAATTTTATGGTCATTCGGTCGGCGGAAATTGTTTGCCGTAAAAATGTACAAAGAGAGAACCCTTTCAATGGTCAAAGGGTCAAATTTTTGAGACAAAGAGGTCTCCCCCTTAAACTGCTCCTTTATCTAAAATTTTGAAGAGGGACGAAGAGGTCTCCCCCTTAAACTGCTCCTTTATCTAAAATTTTGATGGGGGACGAGGTGTGGCTCGAAAATGTTTTTGACAATTTCAATATTTGTCGAAACAAGGTGAACGACTTTCCTATTCCCAAAACACTGTAGAGATCACGGGCGTACTTGGAGAGGAGGGAGGAGGAGGGGGGAGGGGGGAGGGGGGAGGAGGGGTGGACGCATCTCTCCTCAGGGAATCGACCCACTCACCAACCAAAGGGTCCCCAATATAACCACTATATTGTGTCTTAATTTACGGCCGACGATATCTCTTTTCGGCCGACCAACCTTGAAAATTTTCTAAAGGCGCGATATATACTATTTTTGAAGAGATGCGCACGCCGTAAAATTGAAATTCTTTGCCTGTTTCTTCAATGTGGCGCAGAAGTTTTGGTCAAAATAATGTCTATATATTGCTCTAGGAGTGATCGGAAAATCATTTTGTCAACCATTTTTTCAGGTCGACCAAATTGGTCTTTTTTTTGAAAACCCGCCCCCTTGAAGAAATCTTAGATGCGCTCTTAAAAAGATATCATATTTTGTTTGAAAAATCAGATCTGCCGGCATCATTATGTAGAGTGAGACAAGACGTCATTTTGAGCATGATAAGATTTTATCAATACTCGCTTTTTTGTGCGCGTATGATATCCTTTCCAAAATTTTAGATAAATGAAGCTTCTGAGTATGACAGACAAGCCACATCGTCTATGGCAGGGTCGGATATAAGATTTTCTCAAGAAGTGAAGGAGATTTTTCAAAAACTTTTTTGTAGAACAACCAATTAATTTTCCGAGCTCTATGGCTTTTAAAAGTTAATTTTTGAGCAGTCCTACCTACAGTTTTGAATCTCTTGCACAGTTTTTTCAAGTCTATGATTTGTTCAAAAAAGTTGTACTAACGGGTTTCGAACGGGTCAATAAAATATTATCATAAAAATTTTAAAATTCAATTATTAAATTTTGACATGTGAAGGTACTTAATAAGACCAAATAGCTTGCCTCTATTCAATTTGGAACAAATTTGTGAAGCTAGATATTTCGCTACGTGTAAATAATGCGAGTTTTTCTTTCAGTATCAAAGTATAAAACGAGCATTTTGGTTGGACTCGTTTCACAATGACCGTTAAGTCATGATAGTGTTGTAGTGAGCACGATCCTCTTTTGTACACGAAGATCTATAGATTGAAACCTCTAGAAAGACGTCTTTTGAAATTGAGTAACTAAAAAATCACACTGAGCATAAAGTTTTATGCTTTTTTCAAACAGCAGAACAGAAATCTCTCTTTTTTCATATGCATCATGATCCAGAACATTATAGGCACATTTATACACAGAAAGGCGGTCAATTTAGCCGAAAACAGAAAACTTTGGATAAAAAAATAAGACGCAAAGCATGTACTTATGGTATTTTTCTTCAGACTAAGAACAGCTTCTTCAACTAGTCATTAGAGAACAGTTTGATTCATCCAAAAGGCACGGATGTCATGAGGTCAAACCTAAAAGATATTTTTCCTGTACTCCTCTTTTGGATAGTTAACACGCGTTATATTTCTTGCTATTTAAGCGTAGAATGCGAAGTAAATCGTTTCAAATTGAAATGCTGCAAACAATTTGTTCTTATCATTGCTTTACCAGTTTACAATTTTTCCATTTTGCATTTTGCATAGCATGACGGGGGAAAAAGAAAAAACTTTTTTCAATTATTTTTTCATTTTCCAAATTTTGTAGGGCAGTCGGAATATTCAGGCTTGATATGAGCTGTCTTGTTTATTTGCGCTAAGATGAGTTTTGCTGCTGTTGCATTAAATAAGTTATTTCTATCGAGTAGAGGCAAGAAGAAATTGGAAAATATGTGACTAGTAAGCATTTAAAACGTGCAGAAAAGCTTTTGAATCTTTTTAGGAAAAAGCTGAAAATAGCACAATAAAGTAGGCATTTATTGTAACTCTGTTGTTTCTGATCATGAAGATCATGAGATTGTTTTAGATTGTCTTTTTTGCATTTATAAAGTAAGCTCTAAATATAAAATTTAAGTCTCTTATCGCTCGTTTGTGCGTATTTCTTTGATTTGGTTTTTATCTGAAAATACAAGCTTGTTTGACCAAGATAATTTTGTTCTAAAAATGGCTGAAACTTCTGAAAAAGCTAAAACAGTTACCCGAGATTTGAAATAGCTAATAGATCTGACGGTTGCGTCGTTTTCTAGAAAACTTCCCAATTTAGTTTTGCAAACGTTTTCAACCCAGTGCTTTCAGCTGAGAAGGATATATTTTACACAGAATTAGGACAAAACCTCTTGTATCATAGCGAGGCCCTGAGTTTTCCGAATACATCTTCAGGTTTCACAAGTAACTTTTTCCAAATAGTTGACATATTTTTCAAAAAGGAAAATTTCAAGTAATTGATGTTTTGGAAAACAGTCGGATTCATCTTAGCATTGTTTTAGTTCAATTTTATCATTTGATTTAGAAAAAATCAATTATTAAAAACATTCTTGGTGCTGAGAAGAAGTGGCCCCCGTACCTAAAACTTGGAAACCAGATCTGAGTATCTCAAAGATCTGACTCAGACTGACCATGTCCAAACGAAACATGCATCACTTCTGGACAAGATCTGAAATAAGCATCTGAAATTTAAAAAAAAATTTAAGATGCTCAGATCTGGCTTCCAAGTTCTTTTGGATGGATGTTCCAAGTTCTTTTGGATGGATCCATCTGAATCTCATCTAAATCCAATAAAAAAAAATTTCTGAGCAGATCGATTCAAGGGTCTAAACATACATCTTAAATCAATTTTTGCTAGCAATCTGAAAAAGAAAAAAATTAATTTAAAACAATGGGATATAAAGTCAGGTGGCGCAAATCATATACCTCCTGAAAAATGAAGACTTTCAGAAACCATTTTTTAAAATTTGCTCAGGCCGCGGGAAATATCTTTTGCAATATCAGAAAAAAGTTATAATTGTTTTTTGTTTCGCAGGTTTTCATTTTCAGCCGCCTAACTTTTAGTCGCAAAGTTTATACAATCACATTATTCGATAGTTCTACGTCTGTTGAATTTATTTCTACACGTGTTTTTCAAAATCGGGGGAAAATGATGTGATTTCTATCGAGTTTTAAGCTATTTGTTAAAATGGCTGTTTTTAACGAAACAAAAAAAAACAGGAAACAAAATTTGAAAATCTATTCGAAAATTTCAAAAAAAAAATTCATCCAGGTCTGAACATGTACGTTGCAGTTCAGGACAGATATGCCACCTCACACCTAACCCTGGTCATATCTTTATTTGTATTTTATTTCTGTAACATTCATTTTTTGTATCTTTTAGGTCTGAAAATGCATGTTGCAGTTCAGGACAGATATTATTAACCCTGGTTGTATCTGTTTTTTTTGTTTTAATTGTGTACGGGCTGCATATTTTAACTTTTTCACAAAAAGCGGGCTTCGCTCTTAATTTCAGCAATGATTTTTAACTTCTATTTTCCAAGTTTTCTTTTTTTTTATATGGGGATCAATTTAATCTAAAAGCACCTTGCAATTAGCTTCTCTGTCATGTCAGCAGAAAAGTTTCAAAACAAACAATTTTATTTAAAAATTACGTTTCTTTTAAAAATTTTATTCGAAATGAGCCGTTTGGTCAGAATACTCCGGCCGGCGTGTAGAAACAACAGAAAATAACAAGTAGTTCTACAGTGCTCATTTGATTTATTCGGAAAATTTAAAAAAAAAACTTCAAATCTCGTGAACTTTCTATTAACTTGTATATTTTGTTTGATCGCTACAAATGGCCTTTTTATCAGATAATTTTTTTTGGTCAATAAAAACAATTTATTAACACTTTGCTTTAAACTTTCGTATTCTTAAATGACGAGTTGGAAACTTGCTCGATTTTTCCGGATGATTGACTGTCCGGGAACTTATGTTTTGAGAATATTGGTTCTTTCTTTTATCTACCATTTACCTTAAAGTTCGTTTTTCAAGACGAATTAGCGAACTAATTGGCTAATAATTTTTCTAAAACATGATGTAGCATAATTGAAATTGTTTTCGGCAACCCACTAAGTTCTGTGAAGCATAACGAAAAATACTCAATGAAACAAACCTGGGTTTTGCATGTTCTATAGAGTACGCATTCTTTACTTCTCTCAAACTCTTCAGAATTATGATGTCCATATCCAGATAGAATCCTCCATACTTGTATAGCAGAGCCAGTCTGGACGTAGATACAGTTGTGATTGAGGGGTCCCCCAAAACCATATACATATATATGGGAACCGTATTGTGTTAATTGAGACTCAATAAGATTATTACGTGCTGAAACTAATCAAACGCCAATTAGAAAATTGTAACTTGCCAGCTATTTCTTCGCGGCAGACAAATTTTTAAAAATCAGACAAAAACTAAAATTTTAGGCACTTGTTGGGAGGTGTTTTTAAAAAAACTCTGGGGTCCGTCGGTCAAAAATGGATTTCTTAGGATAATAAATGATTTTAAAGTGGCGGGGGGTGAGGAGGTCTGTGTCGAGGGGGTCGTATATTTAACTGAGAAAGGGGGTCGTATATTTAACTGAGAAAGGGGGTCGTATCCTTAATTAATTCGCCCCCTGTCCCCCCTCCTTAATCCACCCCTAGTTTCAAGGTACCTCGCGATCGGGGTGGAGCATCATTTCCCAAGCTAGAAAAAAGTTCACAATACATGCGGACCCCTCGGCGACAACTGTACCTGGCAATATCGCTATAATGACAGACTCCATGGGCCACCACATTGTCAATTCTCTTCTTAATTCCTTCCACTGGAGTCCCAGAAAACACTTTTTCAAAGTCTGCACTGTAGTAATTTACATTTTTGTACTTGAAGTAAATATCGCAGAAGCTTTTGCTCTTGGAAAGATCCAAAGTTTCGGATTTGAAAATGACGTGTAACGTTAGATTGGACTTGAGTGCGGCTGATTCCACAGAGCAAGCTTGTCGACCTGCTAGAAATGGTTTTCCAGAAGTTTCGAGAAAAAACGCTTGATGTTCAGACGAATCATAACTTTCAAAATCTCTAAGTTTGACTATTTTCGAGCAGGTTTCTTCGGCATCATGATTTGAATGAATTTGAGTTGGATACCGCTCAGGGTTTACTGCGCTACGAATGTGAAAAATGAGAAATGCCGCCGCTACAGCAAATAGAATAAAGTGGGCCAGTATTTTATAACATGAGGTCATAGCTAAAGAAAAAACAAAGAACTTAAATAATCAAATTTAGAATATCAAATTTAGTTCAGTTAACTTAGGTAAAAAAAACGCAGGTAAATTGAAAAGTAATGTTCTCCTGCAAATGAAATGAAAGCACCATTGAGACCAATTTTTCTTATAAACAAAAGAAAGAAATTTAAGACTAAATCCAATAAATGTCTGTTAACTCAGACGATTCTAAATTGATTACTGAGACCTACGAGTTAGAAAAAAAACATTTTTCCCGCAATGGAACATTGTAATCATTGTTTGCCGATTATGAGCTAATGCAACGTCGAAGCATGTAAGAGTATAGAGTTTTTCTTTTGCATTAAGGGAAAATGCTTTAAAAATGATTAAATTTTTTCAACAATGATAGAAACTAATAAAGTTGTTCAAAAAAAAAACAAAAGAAGTTGTGAGCATCTAGATTGACATGACTTCTAAGATTTGGCTTAAAACTTTTGATATGTATACAGCCTTTACCCGTGTTTTAAGTTTAGTGCAAAAAAATTCGTCGCTACAATGTTTCGTCTAATTTATCTAATACTGTGCAATACACATTTTTTGGAATACATTTCAATTGCAAAATACCTAGTCAAATATAAAATCAATTTCGATGAATATAACAACAAGGTTTGAGAAGCACAAGTCCATTCTGATTCATATGTTTCGTCAAATATGCTCTGTTAATCCCCCGATTGAGGACCAGCCAACTTGCATGAGAAACGTTTACCTAGCGGCTTTAAGCGCAATTAGACTTGAGTTTATTTTCTGACATTTGCAACTAAAACTCATGGCAAGACTGCTCGTGTACCAAGGAAAAGCCCTAAATGTTCTTAATGTCCCTTAATTTGTATCGGTTGCGTAGCGAAAAGTAGACAAATTAGAAAAAAAAGATGCGTCATAAAGAGGGAAATACTATACTAACCAATCAGAATCGAGAACAGAAAGCAAACTTGTTAGGAAAAACTGCGTTTTTCTCAAATTGGATTAGGTTTAAACAAAAACTGAAAAGAAGAAAAATTGCTTAGAGTTTCATCAATATTAATATTGTGCAAACCAAAATTGAAATTCGTTACTTCAAAAATTGGTCATTTTGGCTTGGTTTCTAATTAATCAAGATCCACGCTAAAACTACCAAATAAATTAATGAAAAAGTATATAAAAAAGCCCTTTACACAGCATACTTACTTACTTACTTACTTACTTACTTACTTACTTACTTTCTTACTTACTTACTTACTTACTTACTTACTTACTTACTTACTTACTTACTTACTTACTTACGTTTACCTTACTTACAATAGAAAGATATATATTTCAAAAGTTTGCGAGAAATTCGAAGCAATTAGTGTAAAATGTTATACAGTTTTTTTTCACGCGAAAAAAAAACTTATTGTAGATGAGAAAATCTGAAAATTTCAGAACCAATTTGTAATGCCAAGTCTTTCAAACTAAACTTTGATAGTTTCATAGAGAGTAGCACTGATCAATTGCACTTGGTCTTTGTAAAACATTCACTGGAATTTGAAGTGTGTTTAAAGTGGACTTTGAAAATAGTTATTTTAAAGAGTAAAATTTTGAAGCTAGTCTTACTTTTGTCCTCTAGTGTCAATGCAAAATGTTTTCTTATATTTGATTTGAAGTGTGCGTTGCGTTTTACCGTCAGCTGTTCCTCAAACGTTGGTGTAATTTGTTCAATTTGTTCACATGTGACTTATACCAGATAAGCAATAGCTTACATTACACTTCGAAATTGGTTCACATCTTGACACTGCGAGTCCCGAATTATTCATAGAACTTCTCAATGCATTGTATAATTGTTGCTTATCTACTACAAAATTGTTTCATAAAAAAATATTTGAATTACCAAAATTGACTGAACAAAACTAACCACAAGCTTAAGTTTTCCGAATTATTTAAGAATAATACTATTTTGGTGGATAAAATTGTTTTCGAGCGGCTCCTGCTTGTAGAGTGTTAATTGCTCACCAGGAGTCCGTACAATCAGAAATTATGTAGTAGCGCTTTGGCAAATACTTCTTAAAATTACAATTATGCTTCCGCATAAATCTGAGTAGATATTGTTTTGACTTTTGAAAAAGAATTCAAAGTACCTAAGCTCGAGTTGGTTTTGTTATTCAAACAAACTTCAGCGATCGAAATAACACTTTTAAAGAAACATTTTGTATACCCTATCGAAAATAGCAACTTTTTAAAGTCAAACATCAGAGAGACTTAGCCCATAACTTTTTTATACAAAATTCTGGGGTTTGAAAATTGCCAATTTGGCCATGCTTTTAACTTATTTATGCACCCTTTGAAGGTTTTAATGTTTTTTTTTAATTTTGTTTCTTCAAATAGCTATTCGATAACAATTGGGGTGAAATTGGAACATTCGGAGTTTGTCTTGATATACGAGAAATCTTGGCTTAATCGCATATTTTAGGTGGCATGCGTGCAAGCCGCATTCCGATCAACAATCAACGTTTGCTGCTAAGCTATTTTGGCTCTTTTTCTTTTCCTCACCAGCAAATTTTATTTTTGAAGTTACTGTTCATTTTGTCCGATTGTCATGACAATTGACATGCAGACTAATTAGGCCATGAAAAACATATTTGATCTTCATAAATAACTTTGTAAAACCACTCATTAGACCATAAACTTCATGTTTCAGTGAGGTGGGGGGAAAGGAAAAAGAGCCGCTATTTTGATTTGCTTAGAATTAGGTTGGAAAAATAGTTTTTTTTTATACCCCACAAAATTATTCCCCATTGAAGATATCGATTCCCTGAATTCGAATGAAGAAAAGTTTGTTACCTTCCACTTTCTTGTAGAAGTTCTGGGGGCTTGTGTAATCAGCAAAAAAATCGTAACACAATTTTTTTTACATGGCAAGTTATCCACCGAAAAAAAATTGTTCAAATTTGAATTGACTCGAGCTATTTTGTTGAAAAACATTCGTCCCTGGTTGAGCTCAAATTGAAAATTAGCGATAAAAAAGTGAAAAAATAAGATCGCCATCGATGAATTATCGACTTTCTTTGCCACAATATCAGGTTTTATCGATGGATTATCGCTAATTTGGTAGTAGTATGATAGTTGGGTCCCAAAAATTAAGATGGGTCCCTGAAGAAAAATTTTAGGCTTTAAAATCATCGAAAACGTGGATTAATTTGTTAAAATGTGTTTTTGAAGTTTTCACAAAAGATGCGGGACCCATCGTTCATATTTGTTTTTTTCTTGGGACCCAACTATCTCACTTTTACCGCTAATCTGGCCAATTTTTAGCATTGAAACAGCGATAAAAACCTATAAAAATGAGCAAAAATATTGAACTGCCGGGGTTCGATCCAGCAACCTTCAGCTTATTAGCCATGTATGCGAACTCAGCAGCATCAATCCTTCCATAGGGACTTCAACCCGGGGTTTTTTCATAATTAATGCTGATTTTGTCCAAGATTTTAATAACTTTTTATAAACAAAAAACTATTCGATACTAACTGAAAGGCAGTCGGATAATTCAGAGCTTTGTTTTAATTGCACATCATAGGCTGCACGTATGCAAGTCGCTTCACCCCCATTCCGATCAGTGTTTGACGCTGAGCTAATTTTCTTTGCTTAGATTTAGGTTGACAAATGACGAGGAAATTGTCTTAGTTAGGGAAGCTCTGTTTTACGGCTGGCAATCAATTATGCATATGTAGCATGAAGTTAGTCTGTTGAAAAATTTGTCTGCCGAAAAATTGTTTCAGTTGCAACTGGGAGACAATCATTTATCAAACAAACCTTTCACAGAAAAAAAAAACATGAGATTCTTTTACCAGATTTGATAAATAAATTTGATATGTATTAACGCTCTTCATTCTGATTAAAGACAATTATTATTGCAGAGTTTCCCAGCAATTTTTTTTTCTTTTTTTTCCCACTTGCTTTTCGAATCTCGAATTTTTCATTCAAATTGATTTTTTCACGGTCTAGTAAACGATGGTCTGATATAATTAAACTAAAAAGAGCTAACCTTGATGCAAAGGAAGGAAGCTAGTGGTGGCACAGGGGGACTGATTGTTTCGAGCAGACCTAGGATTTAGCGACAAATTTGATAAATGGGTCAATTTACAGACCTAAGTAACCCAACTGATTCATAATTAGTTGATATAGGTAAAACGACTCTTAGTCTGGGTTTGAGCTTCCCTAATTAATACTGTGAGTCTCATCCAGTAAACGGCCCAAAACCAAAAATTCTACTTCTTCAATTGAAGCTAATATGATTCAATCTGATTTGTAGATATTAACCAATCTAATTCAAGTACGGTCAAACTTTCCATAAATATTTTGAGCATTTATACAATCATTCATTTTCATAAGTATAGCATTTCGTATTTAAATTAGTTTCAAAGTTAACCAGTCCAAAAATAAGTTTTTTGTTCAAAATGAAATCTGTTGAATATTTTAGACTATTCAAAGTATGCTGGTCAATAATGTGCATAAGACCCACATCAATAAGCTAACAGTTTAGTACCAACATTCTTTTGTTTTCTACAATAGACCGAATAAAGAAAGCCGCAATCACTGATGCACGCGCAAAATAACACTCGTAGAGGATGTAAGCGAAGCGCAGCAAGCAGCCGCGTTTCACTTTGCCAACTGATTTTTCAAATGATTTGAGTGTGCTAAAAGATCAGCCCGCTACAAGCTAGCACCGCGGCAGATTTTCAGCAGAATTATTTTGATGCAATTTGTTTTGAAAAACTCGAAGCTGAAATTTTCGGCATTGTTATTCAATCAAAAGTTACGCCAAATTACGTAAAATGGAAACTCTCAAAATGCCAAAATAAACTAAGAAAAGCATAAAATTCAAAATTTGGCTCATCAAAACGTCTATATTTGTTTTTTTATTCAAAATTGACACTTTATAGCAGATTTGTCATTTTTTGGCTATCAAAACAAAATAAATTTAGTTGTACAATTTTGAGACGGTTATAACCTT